TGGAACTCTCTCAGAGGAATCATATATTTTTCTCTAATCCACTCCGTTATCCCATATAATGCCTGAAATGCATTTAAGCATTCTCTGAATATCACGAGTGTACTAATTTACATGTGTATCTGCACTGGGTTAATCATCGCTAACTGAGATATAGGGAAATATTTAATTGTGTGAAGCTCTGGGGGAAGAAACCTTCGGCCTTGCAGCTGTTGGTAATTACGATTGAACCCAACAGGCAAAAAAAAAAAAAAAAGAAACACTCAATAATGAACACACTTCCTACAGCTTATCAAATACATAACAGCCAGATGAATAAAAAGTCTTCATAAATATGCTTACTCTTAGTACATTATCTACACAATTACAAACCATACAAGGAAATGAAAAATGAAAACAACAAAACGAATATTCAGCTTACATTATAATGAAAAGTACTGTAACAAAAAGTAAAGTGTGACCAATAGCAATACATGACCAACATAATATTTTCCTTCCATTATATTATTATATTTAAAAGGTTACTCCAAGCATCATAACCATTAAAGCCTGCCCTCCCTTTCTATATTTTATTAATAGATCGCACACACTGCTCATAGTTCAGGCTGGGGGTCCTCCAAGTTTTTAAATTATACATCCTCACTTATCAACCATGTGTGGGAAAGATGTTAAGTTCCCCGGTTGTAAAATGATTAATCCCCTACCCACTGCCCATGGGTGGGGGCTAATGGAGGTAATAGGTACCCTGCATGTATTTTATCATTAACCGCTGCTGGCCGCTCATGGTTTGGGGCTGTGGAGGAAGCCAAGTCATCCCTGTTTGCTTTAATTATAGATCACAGTTATATTCCTATGGGTGGGGAGTGTGGGCTGGTGAGAACACTGTGTCACCATTTATGATTTCATAGCTCTTACTTTAGGATGTCCCCCTATTTATTTATCTCATAGCCCACACCCACTGGACACAGATTGCTATTTTTTTTGAGCAGTGAGCATGCTGTTTGTGTAGTAGACATGCTGCAGGCTGCTTACTGTTTAATATCCATGCACCAGGTGGGGGCATAATGGAGTTTTCAGACCTCCATTATAATAATATGGTGGTCATATTGACCCCCATAGTTTTTTTTTTTTTGTTTGTTTTTTTTTTTACTAATTACCCATTTGCTGCTAGTGTGTCTGCAGGATAATTGTCAAAACATGTATTAATAAACCAGTTTTGACTGTGAGCCCAGTAAATGGAATTGAATCACTGAAGCTGGCATTTCCATTGTAAAATACAAATACTGGTTTTAATATTTGAACCAATGTTTATCAGCTCCTGACAAGCCTTTAAAGGCTGTGATGTCTTAAATCCAAACTGGTTAATGGAAACCATAAACTGCTGATAAATTTGATTGACTCTGTTTAAATTGTGTCCTTAATGATAAACATTTAATTGAAGTATTAAAGACTTAATTAGACTTAATTGACAGCTATCAAACTTGCAAACCGTTATTTGTAGGTTCAGTTTATATGGAATTTATATAATATGGTATTTACTTCTTGGTGTATTCTACACATTCTAGCCATTGATCTTGTATTGATCAACTTTCCTTTTATGACAATATTTTTTTTTTTTTTATGAGCACAGAGGAGGGCTATATTTATAATAGTAGATGATTTGTTAACTTACAAAGTGCATGATTATTATAAAGACCATGACAACCATTTCATATCACAGCAGTTCCATAGAGATGGGTTACCTTTGACCTCTAAAGGTGATGCCGAGCAAGTTTTGCTGTTCAATATCCATATAAATTCAATGACTCAGTCAATGGTCCATTTTATGTTGTGATGAATATATAACCTGTATGTACCTATTGTAACTAATACAGTAGCATTAAATGTATCCAGAAAATATCTTACAATGTACTTTGCCAATATTCCATTTTTTTTTATATATGCATCATGGGATTCTATGATTGCTTAAATATATTTATATTTGAAAGATTTTTTTTGTTTTTTTTTTACTACAATGAACTTATAGACACTTTCTATTTATCCTGGTGGCCAAGTAAAGCCAAATTGTTAATAGCCTTTAAATGAGATGATACAGAACAGACACAAGCATCAACTTACTAGGCATACAAAGGGACTGCCTCTATTTTAATTGGACAATGGAGCAAGGACTTAGCACCAGATACTCACCACCTTTGCCTCTGTGCTGGTCCTGTATATGAATGATTTATGAAATATCGGTCCTATGGGAGAAGAAAATGTTGAATAAAGTGTATCACTACTGCAACATCTATACAAATTTGGATATAAAAAGTTGTTAAGGAAAAAAGATTATATTTTATTTCAATGACTTTGCAAAATTATCTCCAGAAAGGATGGACGCTATTTGTAAAATCCTGTTGACAAAGAAGGAACTGCAAGCTATTTACGAGACTGGCATTTAAAAAAAAAAAAAAAAAAAGATGGGGACTTAAAGGGACAAACCGTTTTCCTGGCATTGCAGGCCCCCTCTTCCTCCCACCTCCCATCCCAGGTTGCTGAGGGGGCACTGGGCCAGGCTCCGCAAACTCACCTACCCCAACGATGTCAGCTGGCGGGGGAGACCTAATGCATGCATTACACCGTCCCATAGGAAAGCATTATTCAATGCTTTCCTATGGGGATTCCGCCGACGCTGGAGGTCCTCATGAATTGCGTGAGGACGTCCAGCATCTCTTAAAATACTAAAAGTGTTTTAAGAACCCGGAAGCTCCTCTAGTGGCTGTCTCTAAGACAGCCACTAGAGGATGACTTAACCCTGTTAGGCAATTAGTACAGCTTATGAAAAACTGCACTTAATACACTTGCAGGGTTAAGGGTAGTGGGAGTTGGCACCCAGACCACTCCAATGGGCAGGAGTGGTCTGGGTGCCTGGAGGGTTTCTTTAACCCCTAAAGGACCAAACGTTTTGAATAAAAGGGAATCATGACATGTCACACATGTCATGTGTCCTTAAGGGGTTAATGAATATCTTCTATGATACAGAGGAAAAGTAAAGCTTGAAAGAGTTTTCAAGAGTTAAAATCTGTCCTACAGAAAGCACCTGTTGTGGTGTTGTTTTACAACAAGGCCTGTGTGTGCATGATAAAAAAGGAAGGGACTCACTCAGTTTGATTGGAGACAGTAACGGACCAGCAGGACTGTGAATAAAACATTGAGATTGTCAGTCTTTGAGTGAATCATATGAAATCCTCATAGCACAGCCCCTATCTCCCAACTCAAAAGCACATGGAGCAGAGTTGTTTTGCATTAACTCAAGAATTACATCTTTGTGAAAAACAAAGGAAAAATATTTACACAGACTCAAATATGTATTCAGAAGATTCTGCATGCCCTTGGAGCCTTTTGAGGCAACTGTTGCCAGAAATTTCAGAGTGGACCCCAAGTGACAGACTTGCCAAATACCCATTTTATATGAATTCATGTACCAAAGACAGCTCTCTTTCATGAGGCATATTTAATGTATTAATTTATTGATAAGTATTATTACTTTTATTGGTGTGCCTGGGATCCACCCTGACACACCCTCTTTGTATAAAACTTTTGTTCCGACATTAAATGGGAGGCGTAAGCTCTGAAAGGCATTTTGTCTCAGTAATTTTGTTACCCAAGCATGCTTGGAACGTGGGGTTCTGTCCGGGCAGAATAATCCATGGCAAGGCTGAGGTTTTAGATTGATGTATAGTTGGAAAGTTTTCAAAAAAATACTGTTTCATAGCAAACATTTCCTCAAATCCACCTACAGTATATGAAACAATAGAGAGATCTAGAAAGTGAATGATGGAAAGCAAGAGATAGATGTATAATGAGAGATGGATACCAAGGTGGAAATAGCACAAAATAGACAAATGCATTTGTATAGTTATTCTTCCCTAACCAGCTCTCACTTCATGAACATTCACAACGTCAGTGCACACATGATCCGTTGACCTCACTGTTAATTAACTGGTACATTTCAGTCATGCTCTGCTTGTTTTAATATTACAGACTCTCAAGTATTAAATTTAAGGAACAATGCCTTTGAGGCACTTTACACAGTCTACTAAGGACCAATTAAAAAAATCACATCACACATCTAGTTACTATGATAGCTTACTATTGCATCCCATCATGCACTCCTCTTTTACGGGATTTCACAAAACATTGAGTCATGTTAATTTTAACACCCCATTTTTATCATAGGCTCGTCTAAACATTACATTATATTTCCTTGGTTGTACTACTGCTTGTGGAATTATTTTAACTTGTTAGTGTCTTACTTTATTGTCTTTCTTTCTTTACTTTCTGTTTTTGTAAGATATGTATTTTTAAGATCCCATATGTGTGGTTTCGAGACAGAAGATCCTTAACTACAGTAAGAAAGGAGTACCATAGGACAAGCCATTAGACTGCTAATGAGTAATGAAAAGACATCCAAGAAAGTGATCTATAAAATGTATGTGCACAGGCAATAATGGAGAACCTTAGAGCTAGCCAAAGTCAGGATAGGCATTATGAAATGAAAACCAGCTAAAGACCAGTGAGGAAAGGATAGGCAAAGGAAGGCAAAGTGAGCAAAGGATAAAAAAAAGAATAGATCAACATAAAGCAAGGCAGACAACAATATGAAGAATGAGGAAGTACAGCTTTACTTACAAAGCTTAAGCTGTGTATGGAATTCACATGCCTTCCTCTCTGGACATAAGAATTATGCTTTAACTGTCCCTTTATCTATGGTCAGTTGCATCACTGTCAGTCTTTATACTATTTAGATTTGATTGTTAATTATAATCCCTATTTATATTCATGGACTGACTAGCCATATGCCTTTTGTGCTTTCACCTGATAATATTCACCTATGTTACAAATTTCACTGTATTATTTGGTATTAGTGATGTCCCGAATGGTTCTCCGAACGGTTCGCGAACGGTCCGCCGCGAACGGTTCGCCACGGACTCATCATTGAGTAAACCTCACAGTCAGCAGACACAGTCCAGCCAATCAGCAGCAGACCCTCCCTCCCACACCCTCCCACCTCCTGGACAGCTCACTAAGAATGCAGCTTCACAATGAATGTAAAATGGATGCTGTCCAGGAGGTGGGAGGGTCTGGGAGGGAGGGTCTGCTGCTGATTGCCTGGAATGTGTCTGCTGACTGTGAGGTACAGGGTCAAAGTTTACTCAATGATGAGTCCGTGGCGAACCTTTCATGGCAAACCGTTCGGCGAACCGTTCGGGACATCACTATTTGGTATGTATCCCACATAGTACTGCATTTATCATCTCTTTGTTATCCATGACTTGACTTGCATACTCTGTTTTGTGATTATATACATTCATTCAATGACTTAGTCAATGGTCCATTTTAAGTTGTGATGAATACCTGTTAAATCACCTTGGTATAAGTAATGATAATGCTGGTGACATCAAAGGACTGTTAATGTACTTATTAATTTAATATGGATATAACGTGGTTGTATGTTCTAGCTATTACAGAGTATACTATCTAGTTTGTTTCCACTGGCAATAGACTTCAATGAATATGCTTCTCTAGTGAATCAGCCAGAGTTACTTGGATTCAAGGACCTCAGAAAGAGACGAGACAACATGCTTCTTGCTGACAACTTGTTGAACCACTTTAGCCTGGAGCCCCCAGCTTTTCTTAAAGACCACAGCACACATAAGAAAATTATTTACAGTTATGCACACCAATGAGCATATGACTGGGATGGAATTAGCAGATATACACAGATAGAAAGCCTTAAATAATGCTTTGCTTGTCAATATTCACATGGGATGGGAGACCAAGGGCTTGACTGAGGGATGTAAATTAGGTTGAACTAATTATGCTGGATCCTTTGTTTTTATCACATGATGTATACATCACCAAACCTTGTCTATAAACACATGTTGAATTGCCATAATTATCTGGATCTTTCTTAATGCATACAGTACAGCTTAGACTAAGACTAATAAATATACCAAAATAACATGTTACATAGGCCATTTTGTCACACTAGCATATTATCTTCTGATCCACTTTCTATTTTGTGATAGGAGACTAGGCCTACGTTCTTCAAGTCAGGGTCAAGAGTGCTTTGGCACATACACATTGCTCTGAGGCTTGTGACTATCTATCAGGAAAAATACACGTATCCTATATGCAGAGTGCAAATAGTAAAATGTATACCGGGCCTTAGAATGGCCGGCCGAACGTTAGTATGGACAGAGAATAGTCAGGGATGAGCCGAGGTCAAGGAAGCCAGAAAGTAGGTAATCGAATAATACAAACCAAGTCAATGGGTAGGAGAACACAGAATAGTCAAACCAGAGCCAAGTCAATACCCAAAATGCCCAAACCAGAAAATGCATGGGGAACAATAATGCTTGACACAGGCCATAATTTAGGGAAAGTGATTCCTTTTTATATTGTGGCCCTTTAACTGATAGCCACGCCCCATAAACACCAGATTCTGACGTCACGAAGTCAGCGCGCATGCACCATATCATAAAAAAGGAGCAGAGTTACAGCGCCCAGCATCAGAACGACGACACAGAACAACGAGACAGAGGACGGTCCCCCTTCTGTGTGAGAAGACCCATAGGATCGATCCCTGCCTGGGTAGTGGCAAAAAGTACCCTGATACTATTACTGCAGGGAGTAGGAATGATGATATAGGAGTGGGTAAAGTGATTTTCATTTATGCTTTACAAATATATGTATGAATTGAAAAGTATGCTACTAATAAAATTAATAATAAAAAAAATCTATCCTGAACAACTATAGTCTAACATTTATGCCATAATTAAATATGCTTCAGGAGATCTCCTCTTGAGAAAAAAAAAAATATGTGTTATCCTAAAAACACAACAAAATCAGCTTGACAATTCAATACAATATTTTTTGACTTAAATAAAAAATAAGTCAAAGATCCCATTTTCAACAGGGAATTCCCTGGGTACTTTGTACTCGGTGTGAGATATACCTCTCATCTGTAATCTGCATCTCTCCCTAGATTAGCGGTATGATCGATGGCGGTGATAGCATTTTTGCAGGTAACATAAAATGTCATGTCTCCTGGGTTTAGTCCCGGCTTGACAGAGATGGATTCCTCCTTTTAACAATATGTAGAAGCAAGTGTTGTTGATCCAGGGCTGAAACTTAAAGTAGATTGTATAGAGTAGAAATGCTAAGTTTGACCTATCAAGGTCATCGTCAAACAATCTTAAAATCGCCACACTAAAACATTTACGTACAGTAGACGCACCATCCTATTGATAGAGCAATTAATTTTGTTTGCTTAATAAAAAAATATTGTTAATTTAAAAATCTGAAAAAAAGACAAAGCACACACTGTCTCTCTTTTTTTCTCTCTCTCTAAACTTTATAGAAATATGCAGTCTATCACTTTGAATAGTCTATACACCCATCCATCTATCCAATCATCTGTCTGTCTGTCTAGTCTCTTTAAAACAAGCTGGCTAGAAAGGACAGCAGGAAAGAAAGGTTAAGAAGTATGGACCAATGCAAATTAATCCAGAGAAATATGTTTACCGAAAGAGCACACAATTTCACGGTCTGCTGTTTATAAAAAGCTGAGAAAATAGGACAAAAACCCAATGCACCCAACACTTTGATTTCCTGCTCCTGACCTCTTTGAGATGTCAGCTGTCAGCTTTGTTGACATTCTTTGATTCATTCAACGACACCTGTCGATTCAGTCACTAATCTTGGAATGGCCTTACACTGATCATACATTATATATGGTCATTATAAATCCATATATCACATGTAAAAGCTTTGCTTCTGATGTATTCCAAGGAATGTCAACCTTGGACCATATCAGAGAAGAAATTAAAGGCATATTTTAAAGGCCCTAGGGCAAGCAAACTACATTATTCCAAGTGTTTCTACTAAGTGCTAAAGAAATAGATATGAATATTTAAAAACAATAAAATGATTTACAGCAAGAAGCAGAAAAACCTGTTTACTACAAAATGTGGAATCTTACTCATAACCATTTTCCCAGAAAAAAAGGGGAATTGGGGGCACACTTGGGATATGCATTTCCATTTCTCAGTAGTGGTTCTGCCATAAAGATAAAAATATATACAAAATACAGAGTAATGAATAGCTCACACACAACAAAGTACTGTTTTAGGGATACTTAATATCTTGTGTTTTGTATGTATTTTAATCGGAAGAGCCACTACTTAGAATTGCAGGTTCAGGATCTGCCCCCCAATTTCTCCCCTTTTTTACTGTATACAGTCCTTTCAATGGGGATTTAAACCCCCATTGACTGCAATGCAGTGTGAACAGTGTTAAATCCCTGCTCCCCCCTCGTTTAGATATGGCCATTTTTCTCAATGTGAACACTGCTACAGTCATTTAAATGCCTATTGCAGCAATGCAGTGTGAGCAGGGTTTAATTCCAGTTCACACAGGGAGTCCCAGGTTATTATTAGATGCCTGTGTACCTGTGGCTCCCCTTTATCTGGTATTTAGTGGCCCCAAACTGACAACTTACTGATGAGCTGTATGAAACGCTCAAAGTGAGCACTGTATACAGCTGTTTGATTCCATTAAGAAGACTACATCTGAGCAGACTGCACTCAGCCATTGTTTTTATGGGCTGGCAGGGGATCGATTGTGAACCCCACGGCAGAGTGTTAGCGTTAAGGTTAGGCTTAGATTTAGGGTTACGTTTAGGGTTAGCTCTAGGGTTATGGGTTGGGTTAAGGTTAATGATAGTGTTAATGCTGTTTTAAGGTTATGGATAGTGTAGGATTACATTTAGGGGTAAGTTTAGGGGTAAATATAGCAGAATTTACAATCAGGACTGATGCATGAATTAAGTTTGAGCTTTTTTTATTAAGTTGCACTGGATGTGTAAAAATGATTATAAGCAAAAATATGAAAAAAAATACTCTATTTTTTTTATTTTTACATGTTATTTACACTTAAAGGAAAACTTTAGTCACCAGAACCACTACAGCTTATTGTAGGGGTTCTGGAAGCTATAGCATGTCCCTGCAGGCTTTCTAATGTAAAACATTTAGCAGCATTTACATTGCTGGCTAGTTACATCTTTAGTTTCAGTCACTCAGATGGACACTAGAGGTGCTTCTTAGTCCAGTGCTGAACAGTGAGCAGCACTGGAGTTCAGCATCTCCATGGTCCCCACAGAGATGCATGGATTCAATGCATCTTAATGAGGAGATGCTGATTGCACAATAACCTCCCAGTGCTTCCCCGTGGCAAATCAATGGATTGGTTGAGATTTCAAGTTTGATGATATCAGTCATGGAGGTCGAACCAGGTGGAGCCAGCCATCACAAGACCAGCGCAGCGTGGAAGAAAAGGTGAGGGAAATCACCTTTTCAGTGCAATCAGAATGAGGCCCGAAACCTGTTTGTGTTTGCTTTATATGAAACAATCCTGACATAGGATTGTCATTTAATTGATTGTAACATCTGACTCAAATTATTCTCATTACTGGAATTAATGGTCTTAGCAGTTCATAAAGACATTTCTCAATGAAAGCACTGGATATTATTCAAAGAAGAAAAAAAAATGTTTTTGTTTAAATTAATTTGGAGCACTTGGAGTATCCTCTATCAGCTCAGAGAAGTTTGGAGAATCCTCAAGCAGAATAGGTTAACTGTGAGTAGGTTAGATCAACTTGGATCATTTTAGGTCAGTGTGTAGCAGGTTATACCAGCTCCGAACAGTGTAGGTCAACCTGGAGCAGGTCACATTATGTCAAAGCAGCAATGCTGTAAAAGAAGACAGTTAACTACTATAATTCAACACAACTACTCTACTGACATATGAAATCTGTGTTGCAAAGATGGGAAATATACAACCAATCAGAAAGTGAAGGTCTGGGATACGATAGAAATTTTAAGCTGTAAGCACAAGAAATGCAAAATATGATAACTCTTCAGAAAGAATAAAGTTACAAGACATCTTCATATAGCAGTATCACCCTCTTAAACCCTAATATATAAAAACGAGAAGACAAACACACAAACATACAAACAAAACACACATGTATAAACACAAACACATTTATTCTGATAAATGAGTGTGCATGTTCACAACTTTCATCTGGCAGCTGCCAAATTATTTCACCAGTTAGGCA